GTGATTGGCCAAATACCTCAAGCGTGAGACAGAAATGTTACGCCCCTCACCATATGTTGATGCCCTGTCCGGCCGGAGCGACGACACAAAAACATTAAAACCCATTACAAACGAGGCATTTGTTGCATCCAGTGGGGACATAATTACTGATTATAATGACTTATACTGTCTTTTTACGTGTTGCGTTGCATTGCATCGTGGCGCGTAAACATAAAACCCTGTCTGCATTTGGGATCAGAGAAATGACAAACAACAAGTGCTACTCTACACTGCCCAAAACTCGCGTTTGAATCTTCAGTGGCAAATGATAAATGAAAACGTACTTACATGAGTCAGAACTGCCGGCATTTTAGTCTAACGTTCCTCTACCAGGATCAGTAAACAGTCCTCTATAAAATGTGCCGGCGATCCACAGCACTAAGTTAATGTATTCCCTCAGCGACCAGCACGGATCAGCTCTAGGCATGACGAAGCGGATATCGTCCTCTTTTGGAAGACCAAACAAAGTTGTTTCGCTTTCACAACAAAACACACAGTGTCTTCAGGACATGGCGGCAGCGGCAACAACAATACTACAGCGAGAATAAAAGTTACGCCTTCTTTCTTTGCGTGAACATTTGGGCGGCGTTATGCAAATCTTCCCACATCGTGACGTAGGTATGTGGGGGCGTGTTAGAACGAGCCGTTTTAGGTAGGTGTGGCTGACTCTTAACTTTTATAAAGAATATCTCTTTGGATTTGAGACTTTAGTCTTTGCAAATTTACAGACCTTCTTTATGCACCAAGAGCTTGTAACACTCCAAAGAGAAAGGAAAAAATGAAATCGCATCATATGACCCCTTTAAGTGTTGCTTTTGATAAAACAAGCTCTTTTTCATCATTAAAAAAACATTTTTATCCATTTTATTGCATATGAATGATTGAACCCTTCTCTGTGGACACACTGTTTTAGACGTAGTGAGAGGACATTAAGAAACACCGATTTGGTATAATAATGAGAAAATTAAATTGAAGGTGATAATCGTGTACGTATAGAAATACGTTCTATTATTAATCCCTCATGACATTTAAAATGGAAAATATTTTTTATTTTTTAAAGCTAATAGCAGTTACCCTTGCTGGACCTGTTTTGTCCCACGTCTCAAGAATGACTGAGTTGTCAACTGTGCATGGGCATCTCTACCAAGAGTAAAGAACGTGTAAAGGAATTTGGTCAACATGGGGAAGTCATCCTCCTCCAAATTCGAACTAAACAACGCCCTCCAACGGCGAGCAGGGGAGGATGACTTTTTAGTCGATTTGAACTTTTTTCAAGTCTCTTTGTTAGTTTTTGTAATTTGTTTTCATAGCAAAAATGTTTCAGTATGCGCCACAGTTTTAGTGTTATACACATACCACGGTACAACACAATTTACAGACATCAAATTTAAGTTGAACTGCAAATAATTTATTATTATTATTATTATTATTATTATATTAGGCCCTACCATGCGAAACTATGTTACCATCCTTCATTTGTAATCTCAAGACATTACGGTTTCTCCGCCCCTTGTCTGTCACCCGCTGGAAGGAAACTGGGCGCGTGCTGTTCAAAACAAGCCAGGGCGGATCACGTGCACTGGAAAGCAAAAGCGGCAGCTCGCGCACCGAACACGGCATTTGGCTTCAGGTGTGCTCATGGTTGTACTGCGTCATATCTCCGTGGCGTTTAGCGCCGCTATGGCTGCGGTTGGGACCGCGCTGTTTATCGCACTCAATCTTTTTTATAAAAGACGAGTATGGACACCAGAGTCAGACTACTACACGTTCCGAGAGGTGAGTATGAAGCGAAAGAAATGGGTTCTCTTCTTATGATACCGCCTGCATGTCGCGCGTGACTGATAGGTAGCATAGAAACAATTGTCGAGGGAACTCTGTAAATTGAACTGTACGTACTGTATGTCTGTCATGACTCGTGTGCATATAGATTATGCTTGAAATGTACTTTTTGAGAAATCATAGCATAGAGAAAAGTAATCCTGCTTGTCTTATTGTATCCTTATCTAATTTCTGTGTATTTGTTATGCTTTTTATATTTCTCACTAAAAGTACAATACCCCCCCCAAAAAAAAGTGTTGCAAACGTATTGTTTATTATCAAAAAAGAAAACGATATTTAGAAGAGCACAGTTCCCAAGGTCATGGAGCACTCCAAAAATATCATAATGTTATATTTTCCACGCCTGGAACAGTCATGGAGGTTAATAAATATATTAAAGTCATGGAAATTGTGAATAGTGAATACAAATATTCAGTTATGCTCAGCTCTATACTATTTCAGTCAGCAGCTAGGTATTACTTTTGGAAGAGATTGCTTGCAAGTGATGCTCAGTTGTTCTTTTGAGTCGGTTCATTTCAGTGAATCAGTCAAACTGTTCTGAACCATTCATTAGGGAAAGATCATGAAAGTTCATTTATCAAAAAAAAAAGTCGAAAACAAATTATATGGATTCTTCCTTCTGAACATAAAGTTGCAATAATGCAAAGACACATTTGTACTGTATGTGCCACAAAATATTATAACATTTGATGTAGAGTGCAACAGAGTAGCCAAAGTAACAGAAACCGGGACAGTCTGTCTGTTATTACACAACTAAGACCCTAATTAATGATGGCAAGACTCTGACTATTTGTACATGAAGTTGCATAATTAATTCTGGCAGCTTGCACTAAAATCTCAGCACTAGACTCTGGATAAACAGACTTTAAATCAAATTCTGTTTCATTGCTCATTTCACTCCCTTTTCTTCCATGAACATGTATATATTTAGGAGGAGGAGGAACGCAGTGAGAAGCAGGTGCTTGTTCTTGGGTTGGATGGCGCTGGTAAGAGTAGCGTTCTGCAGGGGCTGAGCGGAGCGGGCTCCAGGAGGGGCTGCCGACCCACACGCGGCTTCTATTTCATCAGCCTACACACACCTGCATGCCAGCTGGACTTCTTGGAAAGTATGGATCAGTGCCAGACCACCCTGTTCACTCGCATACCTTTGTGAGGAAGAAGTACAATTTAGCATAATTTTAAAAAGAGTACTTTTGCAGGAAGAATATACTTTAAAAGTATATACTTAGGTGCATACTGAATGTAATGTTTTCTGTCACTTAATAGCATGTTATTTACAATTAAATGAAAATATACTGTATTATAGTTTAAATGTATAATAAAGGGGTCATATGATGCTTTTTTAAAAGATTATTTTGTGTATTTGGTGTAACAGAATGTGTTGACATGCTTTAATGTTCAAAAAACACATTATTTTTCAAATACTGTACATTATTGTAGGTCCTCTATGCCCCGCCTCTCTCAAACGCTTCGTTTTCTATGAAGTCCCTCCTTCCGACAAGCGCAATCTGCTCTGATTGGCCAGCTGAACCAGTGCATTGTGATTGGCCGAACACTGCAAGCTCTCGTCGGAAATGTAACGCCTTTTACCATAATCGCGAGCTTCATCTTTCAAAATAAATGTAAAGACAGAGCCCGAAAGGGGAACAGAGTCGCGTGACAGACACAGTGATGAAGCTGGTATGTGTTTGCCATACAGAATCCACGGTTAAGACAGCTGACTCCACTGTGATGTGACCCCCCCCCCCCTCTCTCGCTCTCTCTCACTCTCTCTCACTCGTGCGCGCACACACACACGATGCGCAAAACTCCGCATTTGAACAGTCAATAGCAAATACTTAAACTAATAACAAAACAGTAGCTGATTCAGAAGCACCAGATTGTCATAGCAAAGTCAGAATGACCTCCTCTCCTAGGTTCACGAAACGGTCGTCCATAAAATGCATTGCTGTTCTGTTGTAAGTAATCTTAAAGATTCCTAAATGCATCTACTTTCGGAAGGCCAAATAAAGTGCTTTTGCTTTCGCCAAGAAACACAGCGTCTCTCTGACACGCTGCTTCAACACTAACTGCGGTTACTGAAACCACGCCTTCTTTCTTTGCGCGCACATTTGGGCGGCATTATGCAAATATTTCCACATAGTGAGGTAGATATGTGGGGGCGTGTTAGAACGAGCCGTTTTAGGGGGGTGTGGCAGAGTCTTAACTTTGATAAAGAATATCTCTTTGGTTTTGAGACTTTAGTCTTTGTAACTTCAGGGATCTTATCTATGCACAATCAGCTAGTAACACTCCAAAGAGAAAGGAAAACTTGAAATCGCATCATATGACCCCTTTAAATGCAACTTGAGACTGTGAACTTGAGAGTGTTTAACCCATTCAGGTAGGATTATGTACATCTTTATATGTCATTTTCTTACCACTTTTGTCTTGCAATATGGCTAACGTGTTATGCTGAATGTACTGACAATCATTTATGGTAAACTATACTTTAATATAATTTCCATTGAAGCTTTTATGTCCTGTATTTAAATATATTTGTAATTACCCATTTGTAATGATGAAGTTGCTATTAAGTACATTTAGAATATATTAACGTAAATGTAATATCAAATAATACATTAATATCAAGTACTTCATTTGTGCTTTAGCATGTTAGCCAACACAAAAACTGTACTTTTATAAAGCGCACTGCAAAATGTTATGAAAACATTATTTCAAATGTACTTTGAAGTTCAAAACTTTATTTTGACATTATTACAAAATGCATTTTTTGAAAGTATGCACTAATGTATTAAGAAACGTAGTTTAATGAAAGTGTACTCTCTTAACTACAATTACGTTGCCTTTTATTTCATTAAAATTGTTATCTGCAGTGCAGTTTTTTAAATGTACTTTGAAGTACACTACTAGTACAAATTAAATACAATTAAGTGCATATATTTCTCATGTGGGATACTTTAATTCCTGCTCTACAAGTAATATTCAATTAATGCCTTATTTATGATTTCTTAGTTTAGAAAAGCCTGTTTGTCTGTGTCTATGGCAGTAATAACACATCATACAGTTAATTCCTGTTTTGATGATCTCTTCCTATCAGTTGGAGGTGGTGAAGACTTGCGAATGTACTGGGTGGATTACCTAAGGAGAACACATATCTTGGTGTACGTGGTGGACTCCTCTGATAGAGGCCGGCTCCCTCAGGCCAAAGACGAGCTCCATCGATTACTTAAAGCAGACACTGATCTACCAGTGGTGGTCTTGGGAAACAAGCAGGTAACCAAAGGCTCAGTTCTTGGTTTAAACTTTAACCCTGTTTATAATGTCAGAAAGGCTTCATATTGATTTCCTAGATCCTAGTTAAAGGGATAGTTCAGAGTAAAGCTGCTTATATAAATAAAAGTTACTCGATTTGATAGTTTATCCTATGTGTTTTGACTGTTTTTACTCGTACAAAGTCACAGGGGTTTAAAACAACACCGGACACAGCCGACTTTAATTGTAAAGACAAACATCAAATTAACATTTCAAAATATTTTCATTTGTGTTCCGCAGAAGGAAGTCATACAGGTTTGGATATTCATTTTTCTCTGATGATATTCATCTCTTTAATAGAGTGCCAGGCTCCCTTGTTTATGTTTTAGTGTGAATCTGGACTAAAATGTTTTTTATACCCTCATCCAGGATAAGCCCGATGCTGTTAGCGTCCCAGAGCTGCATGAGGCTCTCTCACTGAGCTCAGTGGCTGATCAGAGGAAGCTTTTCCTGCTGGCTTCTCAGTCAGGATCTGATGGATTAAGCAGAACCTGTGGCCTCCAAAAGTTCCAAGACCTGCTTCTGACATTGGTATGAAACCAAGCTGCCATTTGAAGGTTGGCACTACTGTGCCAGAAAGGACAGGCAAAGGGATCTTGAGGGATGAGGGAGCATTCGATGTATTGGTTTCATCCTTGAATTGTGCGAGGAGTAAGGAGCACTTGCGTCATGGCAAAGCTACTGTTGTGACACTGAAGGAGTTGAACAAACACTTTTTTTTTTCAAAATGAGTACTGTGGGCATTATCGCTGCTAGTTACAACGTACAATATCTCACTTGTCATTAATAGGATTATTATATTCAGTATTACAAAGAGCACATTTCATTATGCTTTATCTCTGCATGTGGAGTCAACTTGGCGAATCACAGAAAGAAACAGGAAATTGTATTTTGCTTGACAATGAATGTTCCTTATCCATATTTCACATATATCCTTCCTTTGATCTATCTATCCATATATATATATATATATATATATATATATATGGGGCATTCTACAGAATTGGTCCAAAGTCAGTTGGAAACATCTTGAAAAAAACTGTCTTTTTCCCAAAACAATTAGTATGTATGCAAATTGTATAATATTCAAGGTACACATTTCTAGTAATTGTGCAGTTAATTCTCATATTGTATTAAAGACATTTTTGGAATATTTGTCCTCTCACAAAATTTGTCACTACCGAAACACATGATAATTTAATTAGAAGGGTTATATTGACCTATTGATGTTTTGCTTGCATCTAGATTGTAAATATATATATTTTTTGCTATTTTATTAAAACTTTTTTATCAGAGGTAAATCCATAACAATTACATTTTTAACGATATTTCAAGAGCAATTTATGACATTTATTGTATTTTGAATCCAATCGTCTTTGTAAAAGGCAAAAAGTTGATCATACTGATTTGAAAGTTAAGGATTCATTAGTTTGAATATACATTGAACCAAAACTATCATAACATCTTTGTTGATAATTCAGTATACTTTATTTTTGACAAAACATCCCATGTTTTTTAGTGACGGCATATTTTCGGTAGTGATAGTAATGATTTGGTAGCAACCACGTCAAATTACAGAATTTTAACTCTCATACTAAAACTTACTAAAATACAAAAAAAATTGCATAACTACTAAAATTTTGTTTATTTCCACAAAATATGAGGATTATGTGTTCCTTTTTGTCACTACCGAAACAATGACATGTTTCGGTAGTGAAAATTCTATGGGAATTTAACACCCAAAAAAACCCAAAGTTGTCACTACCAAAACGCCACCAAATGTTTCGGTAGTGACAATTTTAGATACTTTTGAACCTAGCTCAAAGATGCTAATCAGCACATGGTTAGCTAGCACAGTTCTGAACAGTGGTATACATATAAAAACTAAATGTTATGGATTAACTCTCAAAAAAGTGATTAATTGCAGAAAAAAGGTGTTCGGTAGTGACGTTCCTTAAAGTTACACAGATTTTTCTGCACCTATCTACTCATGCCTTGTAGCTATGAGAGAGGGGGACACAGGAATATTTCCTGATCATAAATTTATGGGTTTAGTTCAAATCAGTCTTGGCCAATAGACTAAAACACACTGTTTCGGTAGTGATTTTAAAAAAATACGGGACACTTTTTTTTTTGCATAGTTTCATAATTTACTAAGAAAATAGAGAAAAGATATTTTTTTGAACTTACTTTTAAAAAATATACTTTTAAAAACAACAATGGAAAAAAATTATTTCAATATCATTTTCATAAGTTGAAATTTAGGGGTAAGGGTTTGGGACAGCCACCTCCCAATTGAAAGTACCCAATAAATTATGATTTTATATATATTAATCTTACTAAAATATTAAATTATTAAATTAATTAAATATTATTGTGAGTTTCAATAGAAGAATCTTAATATATATCTAAGATAAATGTGTTTTGTGGTTGTGGGACAGCAGTTTGCACCAATTCTGTAGAATGGCCCATATATATATATATATATGTATGTGTGTGTGTGTGTGTATATATATATATATATATATATATACACACACACCCTATACACACACACACAATGTATTATGACAATTTGTTTTTAATTATTAAAAATGTAACTTTTCTTCTTTTTGAATTTTGAGGTGGAATAGGACATTCCGTGAGATTAACCCAATTTATCCTTGCATGCCAGATTGTGTTATTGACAGTGGACACCTCAGATAATTCTCTTCTCACAACTGTGATTTAGGCTTTAAATGGAGATTTTGTTTTGAAGTTGCACAGCTGTACGAAAATAAGGCCTCTTCACTGTGAAATCAATATGGTCTGCTTATGCAAGTGGTTTGAATTACCATCAACAAGAGCTAGTGGTATGGAGGGAGAACTGTGAAATCCATCAGATGATCTCACATTCAGTCTCTTGAAAAATATGGCTTAACCCAGATCTAAATGAAAGGCCTCTATGAATGCAAACGCATTGTTTTTAGTCTTATAATGAGGGTTTTGCAATGCTGATTAATCCTCATTCTTACACATTTGATTATCCTGGAGAGGAACTGTGAGGCTAATAAATTGATATAACTTGTATAACAGCTGCTGACAGATTCAGACTTCTTATTCACAACCAGTCATGCGCATTTTATTTAGCATGTACATGTAGCATGTGACACTTCTAAGAAACGGTGATGAAGCAACAAAGATGTCTACAGAAGCACTACTGCAGTGCAAATATGAACAAATCTCTGTAATTGTTGTCTTAAATCAATGTTCTGGGTTCAGCTCTATCAACAGCATTTTTGGCATAACGTTGAACGCAGAAAATATCTGTCTCGTTGGTTTTGTGTTTTTTTCCCCGCATACATATTACAAGTTGGGTTTGCATTTTTCCACACTAATTTGCGGCATTGACCAGCAGAATGCTGCTTGGTTTAAAAGTGACTTGTTTATGGGGTTAGGGTTAACCCTAACCCCATGTTTAATGTAATGTAACCACAATAACGCTCTTTAAAAAAAACACAACTCAAAATTATTTTGAGACAGCTTGTACCGAACCCAGATTTTTTTCTTTATGTTGCAATATATTGGAGAGTTGTTTTCACTCCTGTGTATTATTTTTATTTGCCAAAACACATTAAACTTAACCATCAATAAATCAGAATTTACAAAATGTAATTTTTTTTATACTTCGGAAGATACTCAAGCTCCTCACTAGATTCATATACACGTCATTTAAAAGTTAACATTAAAAAAAGAAAGATGCCATAGTAGAAAAACTGTTGAAAAGCTTTTCTCTGTGTATACACTCATCCACACACTTGACCGACACAAAGGTGGCATTCTAACCATCAGTTTAAGACACCAGTTCTTCGCTGTGGCATCACATAGACTTCTGAGATTGCAGAGACGCAATGAACGCAGCATATTCCTTAGGATGACACCGTTTGTATAATTCCACTTTCCGTTTAATCTGCTTCGGTGTGTCCTGATAGTAGTTTTTCTCATCCCTTGCCATTGCCTGAAATGCCAATAAAACACAATCAGTTTTGTGAACTATCAAAGGAGTCTTTTTTTAATGTCTGGGAGGATCATTGATATATACGGCTCTCTTTTACCTTATAATCCTCATTGTGTTCCTTCACCATGTATTGAACATATTCAGTCATGTCAGTGGAGCATGTGGTCCTGTCCTCACCACGGAGACTGGCCTCTACCTCCATTGCTGCAATTTAGACACCAAATCATATTATGCAGCTCATGAATTTCGATAACAGATTTCAAAACCAGCGGAGAACCATTAGGTTTGATAGATACCTTCAATGACGTAGGGTTTCAATACATTTGTCTCCGCTGGTTTACTTTCCATATCCTGAAACATCATTTAAATGCATTAGGTTATCATAAGCAGAAAGGATTTGTATAAATACATTGTAACGTAGTGATTCAAGGTTAGTACTTGCCTTTTTGTTTTTAATAGGAAGCATACCCTTTGTCCCAAGTGACAGCCCCATGTCTTGTAGATTTTGCTTTACTGTTTTGTGTTCATCCCAAGCATTACGTATCTGAGGACTTCAAATCAGCCATGTTAATCAACCCATATTAAAGGGGTCATATGATGCTGCTAAAAAGAACATTATTTTGTGTATTTGGTGTAATGAAATGTGTTTATGCAGTTTAAAGTTCAAAAAACACCTTATTTTCCACATACTGTACGTTATTGTTTCTCCTCTATGCCCTGCCTTTTTGAAATGCGTCGATTTTTACAAAGCTCATCGGTCTGAAAAAGCGAGGTGTGCTCTGATTGGCCAGCTATCCAGTGCGTTGTGATTGGCCTAATACCTCAAGCGTGAGATGGAAATGTTACGTCCCTCACATACTGTTGATGCCCTGTCCGGCCGGAGCGATGAGACAACATTAAAACCCATTACAAACGAGGCATTTGTTGCATCCAGTGGGGACATAATTACTGATTAGAATGACTTATACTGTCTTTTTACGCGTGGCATCGCGCCGCGTAAACATAAAACTTTGTCTGTATTTGTGATCAGAGAAATGACAAACAACAAGTGCTACTCTACTGCCCAAAACTCGCGTTTGAATCATCAGTGGCAAATCCTTTAAATGAAAACGTACTTACGTGAGTCAGAACAGCCGGCATTGTAGTCTAACGTTACTCTCCCAGGATCAGTAAACAGTCCTCCATAAAATGTGCTGCACACATCTGGATATTTGGGTTAAACTGTTCTGGAACAGTGTGGTAAATACAACTTAACCACTGATTTGTAGTCGTGTCCTCTTTTGGAAGACCAAACAAAGTAGTTTCGCTTTCACAACGAACAACACAGCGGCCTAGCGTGAGGTGAAGCCCTGGCTTAGTGTGCGCTGAGGCCGGGATAGAGTGAGCTGAGGCGGCGGGAGTCGAGAACGGCGCGCCCGGCGGATCCTACGAATGAACGGCAACCACATGTGACGGACCCCGGGCTGGACTCCGCATCGCCCACGGTGAAAGTTTATGTATTCCTTCAGCGACCAGCACAGATCAGCTCTAGGCATGACGAAGCAGATATCGTCCTCTTTTGGAAGGCCAAACAAAGTAGTTTCGCTTTCACAACGAAGCACACAGCGTCTTCACGAGACGGCTGCAGCGTCAACAATACTACAGTGAGAATAAAAGTTACGCCTTCTTTCTTTGCATGAACATTTGGGCGGCGTTATGCAAATCTTCCCACATAGTGAGGTAGACATGTGGGGGCGTGTTCGAACGAGCCGTTTTAGGTAGGTGTGGCTGACTCTGAACTTTTATAAAGAATATCTCTTTGGATTTGAGACTTTAGTCTTTGCAACTTTACAGATCTTCTTTATGCACCAAGAGCTTGTAACACTCCAAAGAGAAAGAAAAAATTTAAATCGCATCATTTGAGCCCTTTAATAACAAACTTCATAATGCACGACACTACAATGAGTACAAGTCAACAACAGAGGTTTCAAATTACAAATGACTTTTATAATAATAATAAAAAAAGTAGTACACTTGGGCATACTTTTTAATAATTGTACTCATACAAATATATCTCGTTATATGTAATTTAAGAA